GACAGAACCCAATGCGTAATAGTCAACAAAATAAAATCCAGCCCATCAACCGTGAAGAGCTCGGTCCCCCAGGGTACTGTGCTTGCTCCAGTACTTTTTCTCATCCTCATATCGGACATAGACCAGAACACAACCTATAGCACTGTATCATCCTTTGCAGATGACACTAGGATTTTCATGAGAGTTGGCAACATAGAGGACACGGCAAACCTCCAATCAGATGTTGATCAGGTCTTTCTATGGGCTACAGAAAATAATATGGTATTCAACGAGGATAAGTTTCAGCTCATGCGCTACGGAAAAATTGAAAACATAAAAACAGGAACCACGTACAAAACGCAGGCAAATCATAACATAGAACGAAAAGGCAATGTAAAGGACCTGGGTGTACTCATGTCGGAAGACCTTACCTTTAAAGAACACAATAAAGTAGCCGTCACAACTGCAAGAAAAATGACAGGTTGGATAACAAGAACTTTTCACACTAGAGATGCTATACCGATGATGATACTTTTCAAAACGCTTGTGCTATCTAGAGTGGAGTACTGCTGCACAATGACAGCCCCTTTCAAAGCTGGAGAAATTGCTGACCTAGAGAGCGTGCAGAGATCCTTTACTGCTAGAATCCACTCAGTAAAACATCTAAATTACTGGGACCGACTAAAGAGCCTAAATCTGTACTCCCTTGAGCGCAGGCGGGAGAGATACATAATAATTTACACGTGGAAAATAATTGAGGGGCTGGTCCCAAACCTGCACACAGAAATAACACCACATGAGACCAGAAGACATGGCAGGATGTGCAGAATACCCCCGTTGAAAAGCAGAGGTGCAACAGGTACTCTGAGAGAGAACTCTATCAACATCAGAGGCCCGAGACTGTTCAACACGCTTCCACTACACATAAGGGGCATAACTGGCAAACCCCTCACAGTGTTCAAGAGAGAACTGGATAAGCACCTCCAAAGGATACCTGATCAACCAGGCTGTGACTCATACGTCAGGCTGCGAGCAGCCGCGTCTAACAGCCTGGTTGATCAGTCCAGCAACCAGGAGGCCTGGTCGACGACCGGGCCGCGGGGACACTAAGCCCCGGAAGCACCTCAAGGTAGGTAGTGGCCTACTATGGCAGACAACAAATAACTGGTAACAGGAGAGCTCCCAAAAATCTGGAAGACTGCTAATGTAGTCCCGATATAGAAAAAGAGGGATAGGCAGGAGGCACTAAACTACAGGCCAGTGTCTCTAACTTGCATACCATGCAAGTTGATGGAAAAGATTGTGCGAAAAAAACTAGTGGAATATCTGGAGCGAAAAACTTTAACACAACATCAGCATGGGTTCAGGGATGGCAAGTCTTGCCTCACAGGATTAGTTGAATTCTACGACCAGGCAACAAAATTCAGGCAAGAAAGAAAGAGGTGGGCAGACTGTGTTTTTTTTGGATTGCAAGAATGCCTTTGACACAGTACCACACACAAGACTAGTGCACAAGTTGGAGATGCAGGCAGGAGTGAAAGGTAGGTATTCCATTGGATAAGGAATCCAATGGAGTAACCTAAGCAACAGAAGACAGCGAGTCACTGTGAGGGGCGAGGTCTCAGATTGGCAAAGTGTCACCAGTGGAGTCCTACTGGGTTCAGTCCTTGGACCTATACTATTTCTGATATATGTAAATGATTTCCCATTGGGAATAGACTCGTTCCTCTCAATGTTTGATGATGATGCAAATATTTTGAGGAGGATTAAGTCAGAGGAAGATAGTATGAGGCTACTAGATTAGATCATCTTGTAACGTCATACTATCTACCTATTTATCTGTAGCCTCATACTATCTACCTATCTATCTGTTGCCTCATAATATAACTATCCTCATACTATACCTCAGACTGATTGAATGGTCCAACAGTGGCTACTACAGTTCAGCCCAAGTAAATGTAAGGTAATGAAACTAGGCAGTGGGAACAGGTCAGAAACAGGATACCGAATGGGAGATGAAGTTCTTCATGAAACGGACAGAGGAAGATCTAGGAGTTGATATCACACCAAACCTGTCTCCTGAAGCCCACATAAAAAGAATAACATTTTCGGCACATGCGAGGCTGGCTAACAACAAAATTGCCTTCAGGAACCTGTGTAAGGAATCATTCAGAATCATTCAGAACTTTGGAATCATGGAACTTTGGAACTTTGGAATCACTTTGGAACGGAATCATTCAGAACTTTGCATACCACATATGTAAACCCAATCCTGGAATATGCAGGCCCCAGCATCGAGCCCGTACCTTGTAAAGCACAAGATGAAGCTGGAAAAAGTTCAGAGGTATGCCACTAGGTTAGTCCCAGAACTAAGGTGCATGAGTTAAGAGTAAAAGGCTGCGTGAAATGCACCTCATGTCTCTGGAGGACATCAGAGCCCGGGGAAACATGATCACCATATAAAATTTTTTTAGGGGAATTGACGAGGTAGACAAGGATGGATTATTTAACATGGGTGGTACACGCACAAGGGGGAACAGGTGGAAGCTGAGTACCCAGATGAGGCACATAGACATTTGAAAGAACTCCACCACATGCACTAGGAAGTGATGTGGTGGAGGCAGACTCCATACAGTTTCAAATGTAGATAAGATAAGAGCCCAGTAGGCTCAGGAATCTGTACACTAGTTGATTGACAGTTGAGAGGCGGGACCAAAGAGCCAAAGCTCAGCCCCCGCAAGCACAACTAGGTGAGTACACATACTCCTCCCCCCACACACACATTTCCCCCCCCCACCCCTTGCAAGAAGTGCGGGACAAACCAGGCTGTGGTTGATATGCGGGCTGTGGGTCGCTCCAAGCAACAGCATAACTGGCTCGAGGGGCACTCAACAGCACTTTCCGGCCTGGCTCGGGAAGTAGAACAACTCCTGAAACACTCTCATGGGGCTCTCATGTGCCGATATATTCTCTCCCTATCTCTGGCTCTTTTTTTTTTTTCGATCTCTTTGTCCTGGTTGACCCAGACTCTCGGCAGGCCTACCTGTCTGTGTATGTCACTACGTAACTGTATGTATGTAACTGCATGTCTATCTTTCTCTTTCTCAGTCTCATTCTTTCTCTCATTTTGCTGAATCTCACTCTTATTAAGAATATTTCAAGTTCCCATTGCCATGAGGTGGTTGGTCAGGAGGTGCCTAATAGTGCAAAATATTTCAAATATAATAGTTTTCCCAATCGCTTTGAGAAAGGGGTGGGGCTTTTAAGGTAGTTTTCACTTTAATTTTCATGTCATCACACTTTGACCTTCTTGAGGTTTCAGGGCTAATGATCGAAGCCCTGAAATCTTGATGATTTCAGGGCTTAGCGTCCCCCGTGGCCCAATCCTCGACCTGATCTTCTTTTTGTTACACATTCCCAGGAAGCAGCCCGTAGCAGCTGTTTAACTCTCAGGTACCTATTTACTGCTAGGTAACAGGGGCATCAGAGTGAAAGAAACTGCCCATAAGCTTCCGCCTCCCCCGGGGATCGAACCTGAAACCTCAGGACTACGAATCCGAAGCACTGTCCGCTCAGCTGTCAGGCCCCATACCGTATGTCAGGTCTGACATGGGGTCTGATTTTTATGCATCATACTATAGTATGATGCATAAAATATTTTGGTTAATTCTCCCTATATCAGCTCGTAATGTGTTGCAATATTATAATAAAAATGGACCTTCCCTCTTTTGTCCATATCCTCTTTTTTCATTTTAAAGATTTAAGATAAAATTTTCTTGGCTTTGAGAAAGCCATTGAAGCTGTCAATTGTCTGTTTTATACTGCTATGGGCAAAATATGATAATTAGAACATTTTGTAATTTCCCAAGATCAGTGCACAATTTTTCTTAATGCAGTAAGATAAAATAATAATTTTTTTGTATTTTTTAAATATTTAGCCAGGCATAGCTGGTGGACAGTACTGCCATATGCTGGTCAGGACATATGCTGGTCAGGCAACCGTGACCAGCATGTCCTTCCCTTACCCAAACCATTCCAGCTGCAAAGTTGGGTGAGGTTACCCCTAAGCATCTGGTCTCCAAACTTGGACAGACAAACATTCTCTCATATACTGTATATAATGACCTGTTTCCACAATTGCTGACTACCATTGTATTCTGAAGATATTGTAGTGTGTTCTAATGCCACTGATATAGCCCCTGATATAGACACTGATATAGCCCCTGATATAGACACTGATATAGCCCCTGATATAGCCCCTGATATAGCCGCTGCAACGGTGTTCTCAGAGGGGGATGGGATGGACATGGTTACCATCTAGTATATAATGCAGGAATGTAATTTTTTCAGATGAGTTAATATTTTTCCATTTTAAAATATTCATAACATTTAAGAGGTGTGAGGGTTAAAGTTGTAATCATTGTTCTGGTGCAAATTACAGCTACTGTATTTTGTTTTATGTGATAAACCTGTGCCCTGTGGCTGGGTGATGAATTATAGTGATGGAGTCATTGTCAGCAGGGTTATCAATTGCTTGCTGCTGAAACACATTTAAACTTGTTGTGCCTTCTCCTTTTCCTTTTCAGTCATGGTAATTTGTTTTGGTAATGCATTTTTTGGTATTGCCCCCTTCCCCTCTGCCTTCTCTCTTTCCTAGTTCTATTTCTTACCCCAAACCTCCTCTCCACCTGTTTCCTTCTCGCCCTTCTTCCTGCCACGCCCACATATATACCCACAGTTGTAGACTTACCTTACAGACTTACCTGTGACACAGCTCTTGCAAATGCACACATCACACAGTTCACATACACCATGTGAACACAAATAATTCCTTTCCTTTCCACCTTACTTTTGCAATTATGAACACTAAATCTCGCATGGTTTTTGAGAAGTACCTCAGAGAAATATATATATATATATATATATATATATATATATATATATATATATATATATATAATATTATAATGAGGATTGTTTGTTACTATCAAATTTTGTAACACTTTGGCAATTTGTATAATATAAATAATTTTTCTTTGAACAGGCTTCCAGAGGACCACAGTGGGTATGACCGTTCTAGTCACTTTTATGAAGGTAGGCGAGATGAGGGCCTTGGGTACAATGGCCCTGGAGTTGGCCCTCCTGGAATACGCCGTGCATACCCCAATGACCGCGATCAAGATTTTCCAACCAGAGGTCGGTTACGGCCTTATACACGAGGGCCATATGGTGGTGGGCGTCCTGATCAGGCGGACTACCCATGGGGAAATAACCAGTATCGTTATCTTCACCAAGATCCATATGTCGAGGAAAAAGTGGTGGTGCGTAGAGGGGCCGTACCACCCACCTCGGCATCTCCACCGCCCCTCCCTCGCCCCGCCGTGTCTCGTACTTCGAGGATTCATACTGGAAGCGGCAGCATAAACAAGCGGCGAGGACCTGCGAGCCGATCTGGCTCTGAATCCCGATCAACCAGTAGAAGCAGCAGCAGCAGCAGCAGTAGTAGTAGTAGTAGCCATTCATCTTCCAGTAGCTCAAGGTCACCATCTCCAAGACGGTTGAGTGTTGGTGGCATATCTAGTGGAGGGCTCCTCACTCCTGGTGGTGGGGGGCTTGGCTCACCACAAGAGGAGAAAAGACCAATTGCCATCTGTGTGAGGAATCTCCCACCTTGGTCTACGGGTAAGTCTATTTGTAATGTGTGCACAGTTTAATCTGTTTATGATGCCAATATTTTGAAGCTGTTTTGAATGTGTGAAAACATCATAATAATAATTTTCTCAGTTTCAAGTGATGCAATCAATATATGAAGGACTTTTCGACATTTTATGTTTTGTGTATCTTCAGAAACATCATTACGGGAAGGATTATTCCATGACTACAAGAAACATGGAAAGGTAATGGCTGTACGCTTGCTGGGCTCTGGCAATGATCGCTTTGCTGTTGTCTGCTTTAAGAAACCAGAAGATGCTGAGAAGGCTCTAGATGCCTCACGAGAGAAACTTTTTTTCGGTGTCAAAATCCAGGTTAGTGTTGTAATCCTCCTCCCTTCTGCCCCTGGACTGTCTTCAATAACAGTAAGGATTAGTTTCTAAGTTTTTTAATCATCTTTGGCATTCACACACACTGTCAATATTAATGCAGATAATAGTTGAAGTTTCTAACTTTTCGTTGGAAAAATCCATCGCATTTGTGTGATGAGATTGAGTTTCCACTTCCATCATTATCACGATTTATGCCTTTTCCCACTTTCAGAGTGGGATGGTGCATGTAGAATCTTCCCCAGACATTCTGGTTGCTGACCATCTCCACACTTTCAAGTGCTGAAGACTCGGCAGCAACACTTGAACCATTTGCTGAAGAACTCTACTAGTTCATTTAGTTATCACATAAGTGAAGTAGTCAGCTTTTGCTTGCAATAAGAAGCATGAATATGTGGAATGGTTGAGGTTTACCTTACCACTTGTACACTAAGGGGATCAGGAGAGAAGCAAGAAATTATAAGTGGAAGATATAAGTGAAGGGAAACGATGCAATTAAAAGAATGGATATTATCAGTCTTAGGATAGCATGTAATTTGATAATGTGTGGTAGATCTCGAATTAGTTTTACAAAGAGCAGCCAAAGAACACCATCACTGTGCAAATTGTTAATTCTTCATTTGCTGGATAAGTATACTCCCATGAGTGACTGAGGCCTGCAAGAATACATACTTCAGTCTATTTACTGTACAGTATATCTGGTACAGCAGTTTAGTAGTGTAGCAATTACATGTCATTCATTCCCCACTCTCTGAGCATTGATAGTTCTTAATCTGTTCCCTTAATATTTCTTACCCACTTTACTGCTCTTCAAGTGTGTGCTCTTGAAGCTGTATACCTCAACTCTTACCTGAGCTAGGCACTTCCTCTTGAGCCTATTCCATCCTTTTCCTTATTTGAAAGGCACTCTATTTTGTTTAGTTCATTTGTTTTTATATTCTCACATAATCATTATTTTCTGCTTTCTTGTCTCACTGATGTCACCTGAGGAATTAGGTTTAGCATTAACAAAATTTAAACGTTGGTACACAGTAAATTATGTTGTTCTCAAGTTACTCAATGATTCTATGTTGCTTATCAGAATCTAAATGAGATACTTAAAATGCTTTTGTTTTAAAACAATAGGTAAATCTGCACTGAATAAGTATTCAGCCATAAATTTATAATTACAGTATGAAACACATTATGCATTAGATAGTATGCATTATTGCCTTTCATCAATGTTGAGGGCATCTACTTACCATGCTGAGCTCTTGGAATAGGATAATTCATTTCCTCATTTATAACCAAAAATTCTCTGATACTGTATAAGTTGACACTAAACCTTCAGAAGCAGTTTTTACTGACGAGCTAGAGGCAATACGTGTGTGGTACGACCACTGCTCAAATAAGAGTTATTATTTTCAGACAACATTTTGTTCTGTAGGAATTGTATTCCAAATCTAGTGAACATTGTGCTTAGGGAAATGTCTGAAAATAAAGGCTTGTCTTCAAATGTTGTTGTTTACTTTCCTCGTACTCTTTAATACGTACCAGCATGCAGCAAAGCCATCTCTCCATTCCTTTCCTTCCTTTCATAAGGCTAATTCTTCTATCTTAAATTAATAGTCATGGCGACTAAACCTAATTATCAGTAATGGTATTAAGAAGTTTTGTGAGAACCTTAAGAGTATGTTTAACACTGCAGCTTGCCTAGACATTGTTGTGTTGTACATGTTGTGTATCTGAAGTAACCCAACACTGCTTCCAACACTTTTCTTTTTTATTTACTTTTAACTATACACATCAATCTTCCTTAATGATTATCATTATTTGTTTAGCATTTCCCAAATTCATAAAGGTTGTGAGTGCTTTTTAATTTGTCATCGCTTATACATAAGGTAAATATAGGGTTACCCCATGTTTATAAGTACAAAGTTTTGTTTATAGTTAACCATTATGGTTTGACACTTGCATTTGACCTATGATAGTGATGCCTTGGTTCACAACCTTACCAGGGATTGCATATCAGCCAGCTTTACCTATAAGTGGCATCGCAAATGGCCAATACAGTATTGACAAAGTTTTCCTTTAACCAGTCATGTTGAAAATATAAAACATTATTTTTGGCCTATTGCAAGTGGCCTGTAGTTAAACTACTTAAATTTCTACTTAAAACACACTTTAATCAATCATTCTTTGTGTGAAAATTTGATTCCCAGTGACTCCCAATTTCCTGAAGTTGCCTTGCTTTTCTTCACTACAGGCTGTATCTTTAGCACTTTATAAGACTTCCCTGAAACTGTTTATGTTCAACCATATTACCTATCAGAATGCATTGTAGTAATAGCATTCATGAATTACTAATCCACTTGATTTCTATAGCATTATCACTAAATTGAATCAAGCAATGCTTTAACTTTATGGCACAGCATTGAAATTCCACATTCCTTCATAGCTAACGTACAACTTTGTTTTCCCATATCACCTCTTGACTGCTTTTGTAGGGCCTAAAGCTAAGTAGAGAGTAGCGAGGTGTACAGTAAGAGCCTTGCACCTTCAGTGCAGTAAAGTGAGTCTTGCCACTCTTGTGGGCAGCTCTCCACGCATCTCTCTCACCATTTGTGTGCACCATCTATTTACCATGAAAAACATTTGTAGTTTTATCTTGACTGTATAAATGCTGTTGGGAGTTTGTATAGAATGACATGTTAAACAAAATGTTTGCCCTAGTTTCTTCTATTGCTTTACAGGCAGACATTTCCATTATGATGCTTTAGGTTGATGACTGCTTCTCTTTTGTGATGCTAAAGAAATATTTAGGAGATTTTTGTGATAGAGTATTATACCAGTATAGTACTCTGGTAGATTACTATACTGGTATAAAGTACTATTGGTAGAACCTTTGGCACATGAATGGGGGAAGTATTGATTTTATAATATAAATTGGAAAGCGTCTGGAGATGTCACACCCGATGTGGAATTTGGGAAATGGCATTTTAATGAGCCTAAATTGTGTGTTTAACTTGTCACTCAATCTCAGCATAAGATAAAATTTATTTATCCCAAAATTTACAAATGTGTAGTTACATCTTTATTCGAAGTACATTTTTCAGTTGTATTTCTTCGTGCCAACTACGATAGTTTGTGTGTCCATTGTGTGTTGATACCAAACATTGGGTCAAACTGGTCATCCTATAAATAACAAATATGCTTTGTCCATTGTTCATAAGTGATTCAGCTTTGTTGTGGGTAGTAAAGGCAAGCTCCAGAGGAAAATAATTGTATGCATTAGGAATGGCATAATTATCATTACTTGGATATGAGTGACATTTTTATCTGTGCATCCCCCTATATTAATGCCTTGTGTGTGATTGTGCTTCTCACCAGCTCAATCATACCACCAGCTGCACTCTCACCTTTGGATATACTCTAATACATTCTACTTAAGTCTCTCAGTAGTGGCTATTTAGTTATACCATTGTTGCAGTATTATCTAAATACTGTACATCTTAAGTAAAAACTGTTAACATCATTTGTATATAATTGTTAAATATTTATAGGTTAAAAAATAGGCATAATAGACTGGCCTCAGTCACAGGTGTAAATATTAGCATGGAGGAAGTAAGAAGGGTACTTGTTTTGTGTTCTTTGGCTACACTTACACTATAGTGCCACTTGGTGGTGTGCTACATGTTCTCCACCTCCATTTTGTCCTGCCAATAAATACTGTTTGTCCATTCTTCATCATTTATCCCATTACTTGTGCCTTTCTTAAGTTTGTTCCCTTGTATCTCACCTGTCTGTGCTTGCTAAGAGCAGTCCTCATTCTTTCCACGCATTCTTGTTTCTCAGTGGAAGCAAGTGGCAATGGCTTCACTCTTGTGATAGCTCAACAAGCATGTGGAAGTCTTTGGCAAGTGTTTTGGGTGCTCCTTCACCAGTCTCTTAAACACATGGAGAGGCATTTGAAATGTTGGGAAGATTCTACATGTGGCTGTCCCACTCAAGGATGGACAGCTCTCAGAGGGAAATAAGCATCAATAATAGAGAATTTTAATTTTTAATTTATTTTTAATTTTTGGGTGGTAGCTTTGTTAAAGATTCCGCTTGAGCATGAGAGAGCAGCACTGCTTATTTAGCTTTACATCTGGTGTGAAGACATGGCATATAGTGTGTGTGAAATATGAAATACTGACGATAACTCTAAACTTGGTATTCGTTGCTCTCATAGTGTTCGTTTATAATTTAATTTTTAAAATATAACTTTTTAGGTGGCGCCACATGAAGGAGTGGAATTAGACGAGAGTGAATGTAGAGCATATGATGTTGAAGTGGACGAGTACCATCCAAGAGCAACCCGCACCCTTTTCATTGGCAACTTGGAAAAGGATGTAACAATAGAAGATCTCAAGAAACATTTTGAGCAGTTTGGTGACATCATAGTGAGTATGCTAGATTTTTGACTGATATTCGTGGTTTCTGTTTGTATAGTACACACAGAAAATTAAATCTTTATGGATTAATAACTTAGAATAAAAGAGTTATTCCCACTTTCAGTAAAATGCAATTTGGGTTGCACACTTTATAATGTATAGGGCTGCATTTTCATGTTATATAAGAGTTCCAGAAGTGTAAAATTAAAGGAATCTACTTGGTTGAGAGGCCAGGCAAATATCAGAAGAACATTGCAAGCCAATATAAGTAGAGCACTTGGAAGGGGTCTGTGGACAAGACTTAGATACGAGGCCAGTGTGAAGGAAGTGTGTCAAGTCACTTGGACCATCACAAGTATCCAACACTGATCATGTAACAGGTGAGGCCAGCCCACCACTCTTAAGTAGAAAGACTAGTATGGTCTACTAGGAAAGAGATGGTTGGGTTGACTGCATCTATCTGGACCTAAGAAAGACTTTTGACAGAGTTCCACATAAGAGGTTGTTCTGGAAAATATTGAAGGGGTGACAGGTAAACTTCTAACATGGGTGAAAAATTTTCTGACTGATAGAAAAATGAGGGCAGTGATCAGAGGCAATGTATCGGACTAGAGAAATGTCACAAGTGGAGTACCACAGGGTTCAGTTCTTGCACCAGTAATGTTTATTGTCTACATAAATGATCTACCAGATGGAATACAGAATTATATGAATAGGTTTGCTGATGATGCTAAGATAATAGGAAGGAAAAGAAACTTAGATGATTGTCATGCCCTTCAAGAAGACCTGGACAAAATATGTATATGGAGCACCACTTGGCAAATGGAATTTAATGTTAATAAATGCCATGTTATGGAATGTGGAATGGAACATGGACCCCACACAACCTATATATTATGTGAGAAATTTTTAAAGAATTCTGATAAAGAAAGAGATCTAGGGGTGATTCTAGATAGAACCGAGGACCACATAAAGAACGTTGTGTGAGGAGCCTATGCCACGCTTTCTAACTTCAGAATTGCTTTTAAATACATGGATGGCAATATACTAAAGAAGTTGTTCATGACTTTTGTTCGGCCAAAGCTAGAATATGCAGCGGTTGTTTCATGCCCATATCTTAAGAAGCACATCAACAAACTGGAAAAGGTGCAAAGACATGCTACTAAGTGGCTCCCAGAACTGAAGGGCAAGAGCTACGAGGAGAGGTTAGAGGCATTAAATATGCCAAAACTAGAATACAGAAGAAAAATAGGTGATATGATCACTACATACAAAATAGTAACAGGAATTGATAATATCGATAGGGAAGATTTCCTGAGACCTGGAACTTCAAGAACAAGAGGTCATAGATATAAACTAGCTAAACACAGATGCCGAAGAAATATAAGAAAATTCACTTTCGCAAACAGAGTGGTAGACGGTTGGAACAAGTTAGGTGAGAAGGTGGTGGAGGCCAAGACCGTCAGTAGTTTCAAAGCGTTATATGACAAAGAGTGCTGGGAAGACGGGACACCACGAGCGTAGCTCTCATCCTGTAACTACACTTAGGTAATTACACTTAGGTAATTACATACTCACCATCTATTTGAGCAAATCTAGTTTGAAGAATACTGCTCCAGAGACTGTTGGATTATTATTATTATTATTATTATTATTATTATTAGTAGTAGTAGAAGTAATGGTAATATCTTCTCACAGACATAACAACATAGGGTAAAAACTTGCACTTTGTATATTTGTGAAATTTATATAAGGAATTTACAGTCTTTCGCACTCTCCTGAGTGCTTTGTCAAGTTCTGAGTGTGTGGTTAGGACGAGACTTAGATCTCAATGTCTAATCAACGTCATTAGATGTTGAGATGCAAGTCTCGTCCTAACCACACACTCACACCTTGATAAAGCACTCAGGAGAGTGCGAGAGAGACTCTAAATTCCTTATATATATATATATCACAAATACACAAGTGAGGGTTTTATCCTTTATTATTATTATTATTATTATTATTATTATTATTATTATTATTATTATTATTATTATTTATTATTATTATTACAGTACTGTATTATTATTATTATTATTATTATTATTACATTAACACTTTCGCGCTCTCCGCAAAGGTCACTCAGCCAACCGAATGTGCGCGCTGCGTTTTTATCGCTTAAGCGTAAAAACAAAAATGTGTATACTCTTTTTACTCTTCTGACCTTAGTTCTCATGCTACGTATTTCATTTTGGTACCAACGTGTTCGCAATAAAATTCTCTAGAAGAACATTAGTAAAATAAGTCACGAAACATATAGGGATACCAGCACCAAATAAATAACTACGTAGATGACTCGCCGTGAGCGCCCATCAGCAACAAAATGTTTTTACTCTTGGGATTGTAATCACCTCCACACTTGTTCTACAGCGTTAATTTTGGTATCAATGGACTCGCAATGAAAGTCCCAACACGGTGATATGAATATAAGCGTAGAATAATGATGCAGCCCGCCCGCAAGAGTGTGGGAAGTGGTGAAATTGTTACCCGGTATCGGTGACGGGACGACGCACGGCGCTTTGAAAGTTTATACTTATTTCACTCTCATGACATTAATTTTCTATGTACGTCATTCATTTTTATGTCAATGTGTTTGCAATAGAATGTTCTATGTGCCCATAGGTAAAAAATATCAACAAAGCGTAAGTTAGAATAGCGACAAATATAAAACAACGCTGGAACATATCAGTGAGCGTCAAACACACACGAAATATTTTTACTTTTGTTATGTTTGTCAAGATTATACTTGTTGCACACAGTTATTTTTGGTTGTATATTGATCGGAATAAAATTCCCTAAACAGACATATGCATATAATACATGATATGGGGGAAGAATTACCAGTATAAACGGCTAAAGTCACCCACCTGCAACCCGTTTGGGACAAAATACCATTTGATCGAAGTTATCCACACCTTTCATGAACTTATTGTACCATGCAGCCTAGTGGTGAGAAAGAGAGCCTCATAGCGCGCAGTTTGAAACAAACCCAAAGTAAATCGGATAAAAATTGAATTTTATACAAATATTTTAAAAGTTGACATAACTTTATGTCCACTATGCGTTTACGTTAGACGAAACCGAACGCGCCGGCGCGTCCAGATAGCGCGAAAGTGTTAATATTATCATTATTATTATTATCACCACCACTATTATTATCAAAGGTCACTACGTTATAGCTTTCAAGTAAAGTTAAGCTTTTTAGCCAGTTTTACCATCACTTTATGTCAAGTACTGTACTGTATATTATAAACAATGTGATTACCCCTGTACCTACTGTACTGTATATTATAAGCAATGTGATTACCCTGTACCTTATGTTAGTTTTGTCAATACTGGTAATTAATTCCTTGCACATGGTTATCTTTTAAAGGAGATTGATATCAAGAAGCAAAATGTATCAACTTTCGCCTTCTGCCAGTACTCGGACATCCGATCAGTGGTACGAGCAATGAGACAGATGGACGGAGAGCATCTGGGGACCAACCGAATTAAGCTCGGCTTTGGCAAATCCATGCCAACTCGTTGTGTCTGGATTGATGGTGTCCCGGAAACAATGGCAGAAAAGCAGCTATATGAACAGTTTTCTCGTTTTGGGCCAGTCATTCATACCATCATTGACAGAGAAAAAGGACATGCTCTCATCTTTTATGAAATCGTAAGTACCTGTAATTTTAAGGTCTCGTACTTTAATTGTGTTCATTTTGCTGTTATAAGGGTCATTTTAAGTGCTGAATGCACTCGATGAGTAATTAAATTTTTCTTTCCCCTTAAGTAGGTGTTCAGTTCTATTAGTGTTAATTTCTTATTTTTTGTTAAAATATTTATCTGCCTCGAGTTAGTCTCAACGTGGTTGAGGAATCGTTATTCCTTACAGTGGAGCTGTCTGGTGTATTATAGGGGGTTAATGATAGTCACAATGGCTTGAACATGACATCCTTCGAATTGGTTTGTAAAAAAGTAGAAACATGGGTTTCTTATGAAGGATAAGGTCAGTTTATGTAAGGAGGTTTCCAGAAATTATAAAAGCAAATTGAAAAAAAAATAGAAAGCAGAAGTGTGGTATGTGCATTGAACACTTGTGTGTTGCATTTAACTTATGTTTTGGGAGGTTTTCATGTGTGTAATTTACACCTTACACAGGATACCTCTGGTCAGTGGGCCATAGTCACACTGCTCACTATGCAGGTGATGAGTCACAATAGCGTGGCTGAAGTATGTTGACCAGACCACACACTAGAAAATGAAGGGATGACGACGTTTTGGTCCGTCCTGGACCATTCTCAAGTCGATTGTGCACACAATTGACTTGAGAATGGTCCTGGACGGACTGAAACGTCGTGGTCCCTTCATTTTCTTGTGTGTAGATTGGTCAACATGCTTCACACTGTGGTTGTTTTATATAGAATTTAAGAGGATTAAGGAAAGCGTTGAACTGTGTTCTAATATTTTTACAAAAGAGCTACATCAAGTAATGTTGAGTGGAGGTTGTCATGACAGACACCAAAGTGTTGGGGATCTAACCCTGCCTCACTGCTTCCATGTTAATGTCAGCTTTTAATATGGAATTTTTGTATAGATATATTATGGTAAAATGTAGAATATATACAAAAATACAAAATAATTTTTGTAGCGCATTACATTTCTTTAGAACAAAAAGTAATTATTTTGTTTTACATGTGAAGTTAGAAGATACTGAACTTGTAAACACGAAGCATTAAATTTATTTTATTTATATATACAAGAGTTCTTACATTCTTGTACAGCCACTAGCACACAGCGGTTTGGGCAGGCCCTTAATCCTAATATTCCCTGGAATATGTCCCACCAAATTGTTTAGCAACCAGGTACCCATTTTACTGTTGGGTAAACAGAGACTAGATTAAAGAGGTTAAAAATTGGCCCCCCCGCAAATCCTCCCCGGACAGGATACAATCCCAGGTCAAAGTGCTGGCATTAAATCAACAGTTCAGCACTGGGCTGATTTAATGCTTGACATGGGTAAGCGATAGAGAAAGTAAAGCTATTAGTAATAGTCCATGGTTAAAAAGAGGCTATGAATGTGAACACAGTATTGTATTGTACTGATTGAAAAATTGTGAGTGGATTAACAATTGATGAGTTTGGGAGATAAGTGAGAAGGCGGTGAGAGTGGAGTATGTGGGACACTGGTGGTGGGAGAGGAGGGTGTCTGCTGGCTCAGTAATTACTGCCACACTCCACTATATTCACACAACTTCTAGCTGTACTAGGGAAAAATCTTGCTACTTTTTACATTGGTTATTGTATGTAAATTAAATGGTATACAGTACAGTCATGAAAATGATATAAGAACAAATTCCAGCATAGTACAGCATAAGTAGCAATGTGGCCTAAAGTATATAATAGAAGGAATTTGCTTAAAGAATATTAGAGGAGCATAAAACTTGTAATGGTATTAGTGGTGCACAGTGTCATCAACATTGAAGAATTGTTAGCCATGTTGCAAGCACTATACTGTATTCTGGAAAAGTTAAACATGCAACCCTGAGCGGCCATTAGATGATCAGTTGAATTTCTATAGTGCAGTTTTTATTTTTTTTTTAAGATATATACGAGTTATTACATTCTTGTACAGCCACTAGTATGTGTAGCTGGGCAGGTCCCTGGAATACGATCCCCGCTGCAAAGAATCGTTGTTACAACCAAGTACCCATTTTACTGTTGAGTTAAACAGAGGCTACAGTTAAGGATTTGCGCCCAGTAAATCCTCCCCGGCCAGGATACGTACCCATGACAAAGTGCTTGCGGAACGCCAGGTGAGTGTCTTACCACTACACCACGGAGACTGGTTACTGTGAGATAAGGTGTGAAATTGTTGTGGTGAATAGTGAGAAGAGGATGTACAGACGCACCTTCCTAGGGTACACACACTATTGTTGCCCTCCGAATATCATGAACTTCAAAATGTTCAAGTTTTAATCTTTAAAACTTTCCTGCACTGTTAATTCTGATACACTATTGCTGTATTTCAACGCGTTATTTTATATATTTTGAGCGATGATTTTATATGTAGTGTACATACATCTCTTACAAAAGTAACAATTTAAAATAACAAATATATAAATAAAGAATAATGTGCTTGGATGAGCACTGTTACTCTTAGATTTAAAAAAAAAATGTTGCGTGAAGAGTACAGTAACAATATATGTAGAACAACAGTTTGTATTGTTTACAATCATGTGGTGAATGATTCCACATCACATTCACAATTGCTTCTATTTCCTTGTCTATTCTCAAAGTGGAATATTTGAGAGATTCTCATACAAAATTGTTGTATTGTTTAATGGCTGTGTTGGACACATTTACTTCGTATTGTTAGTTTGAAAGGGTTGTCATGACATTTTAGAGGTTAATGAGTGAAGTAAAGTGTGTTAAGTGGGCCCAGGTCATACAGTGATGCTTGTCATCTCTATGCTGCATGCAACGTGGAATTGCATAATGCCACCATAAAAAGAAAAGCATAAATAAGAAGATAGAGCAGTTTGAAAATGCTTGAAGTAGTGACGTGGACATAAATGTGTGAAGTAGCAATAGCTATTATTGAAGGGGGCCTTGAAGAATAGCACCTTAGGATTTACTGAAAAGATAAACTTCATTGCAGTATGGGGGGGACATGTTTGTCAGTGATAACTGGATTTTAAATAAAAAATACAAATAATAGCATTGTCATTATAATTAAAATAGTTTCATTAGAAACTCATTGACTTTACTTATAGATTGAGAAAAGCTCTAGGCGGGGAAATTTGTTGACTGCTTTGAAAAGTGCATGGAGTTGGAGGAAGCTGAGGGCAGTAGTGAATACTTTGTTTAGAAAGAAAGTAGCATACTAGAGAATGACATGTGAATAATCTATTTGGACTTGACGATGTTAACTATACATAAGTAAAATTGCTATGAATGGTCAGTGTTGTTATATATGGAATAGTTTTGGAGGTCAAGGCTGGCAATTTCGTTAGAGGAGTTAGATAAGACAAGTATGATGACCAAAATAGACATAAAGTGAAGTAACAATGTTTTGGTCCATTCTGGACAATTATCAAGTCATGTTTTGGTCCAGGCCAGACCCAAACGTGGCCGTTTCCTCACATTATTATGTGTGGTTTCATCATCGTATCTTCAGCCACACTTTATTATAACTCATTGTGGTGGAGGGGACACATGGGTGGCTGATGTGAGTGGTGGAGGGGGACACATGGGTGGCTGATGTTAGTGGTGGAGGGGACACATGGGTGGTTGATGTGAGTGGTGGAGGGGACACAGGGGTGGTTGATGTGAGTGGTGGAGGGGACACATGGGTGGCTGATGTGAGTGGTGGAGGGGACACATGGGTGGCTGATGTTAGTGGTGGAGGGGACACATGGGTGGTTGATGTGAGTGGTGGAGGGGACACAGGGGTGGTTGATGTGAGTGGTGGAGGGGACACATGGGTGGCTGATGTGAGTGGTGGAGGGGACACATGGGTGGCTGATGTGAGTGGTGGAGGGGGACACATGGGTGGCTGATGTGAGTGGTGGAGGGGACACATGGGTGGCTGATGTGAGTGGTGGAGGGGACACATGGGTGGCTGATGTGAGTGGTGGAGGGGAACACATGGGTGGCTGATGTGAGTGGTGGAGGGGACACATGGGTGGCTGATGTGAGTGGTGGAGGGAACACATGGGTGGTTGATGTGAATAAGGGGATTAACATGGCATATAGTAATATCAACAATGACAGAAGAGGAGTGGGTGCCAGGATGTGTGTGTGTGGAAATTCCTGGAAGTGTAGGAACGAGCAGCATCACTCATACTAGTGATAGTAAAAAAATACTAATCACAGCTTCGTGTCAGCTTTGCAGATGACAAAAAAAAAATTGGCATGAAAATTTCCTCTGTAGAAGATATTAATAACGTTGTAATGTACGATTGTTATGTTACTGTGTAGATTAGATACAGAGTGCTTACTGGGTTTTCATATTTATTTAGTAGTCTTGGCTACAGCATTCGGTTATTTGCAGTGTCGTAGAAATTGAGACGAAACCTGGAGCAGAGCAGAGTGAGGCCGGGGATAGAGAACCGGGATGCAGGGTGAGAGTCGTAGAGGGTGGCACTTTGAATGTGGGCGCAGTCGAGGAGCTCGATGCGGGGTAAAAGATCAAAAGATTGGTAAATGATCAACATGTAAAAGATCTGCAAATTATATCTGATGACCTGACATCTAGTGAACACAACCAAGCAAATATAGCGGTAGCCAGAAAAATGATAGGATGGATTATGAGAACGTTCAACTCCAGAGACCCCCACAGCAATGCTAATACTATTTGAATCACTGGTACTGTCCTGTCGTGAATATTGCTCGGTACTCACTTTCCATTTCAGAGCAGGAGAGATCTCTAAATTAGAGGGAATACAGAGAACATATACAACATGCATAGAAAAGCTAAAACATCTAAATTATTGGGACCGTCTCAAAGTTCTTAAAATATACTATTTGGAAAGGAGACAAGAGGTATCAAATAATATATACATCGAAGATACTGGAGGGCCAGGTCCCAAATATGCACAATAGAATACAATGGACATTTCTTAAATTCAATATCGAGGCAAAGTGTGAGAGGATACTTATGCTAGGTTATCTTAAGTTAATTTATGTTATGCTCTATTTTAATTTTAATTTGAGTAGAATTGTCAATAGAATGTGAGGGGGGGGGATTGTAGTGGGCAAGTAAGAACTGAACAGTGTATGTGAACCCATATTACAAATTCAAGAAAGTCAGTTGTTGTGAGTAACTAGATTTCTGGTAAAAAATATAGGACTGATAAGGAAGTACTGTAGATTGTACATTGAATATAGGAGCGAATACTGAAGAAACTCGGCACTAACAAGCTTGTATTATGGAACAGGAAGTGCTGATATGGGTATCTGTGTAGAGTTTTGCATTAAGGAAAACTTCTGGAAATTTTGCTTGCCTAGTTATAAATTATCAAGTGTTATGTACTGTAGTCATGCAGTGATTCCAGGAAAAGCTTACATCTCCAGTACAAACAAGAGGTTTTATTAATATATTAATTTGAATTTTCTTTTACCGTGTTAATATAATTTTGAAATTTAACATACTTTTATTCAGTGTAATTGTATAAATGTACAGTACAGAAATATCTTTTCAATGCTTTTCATTATTAAGTCTGAATTCTCATTTAATGTCATTTCATGAATTTATATTTTGTATGTTTTTTTTTGTTCTCAGGAAAAATATGCATCTAGTGCAGTTATGGAGATGCGTGGACGGATGCTAAATGGCAGAAAGATTCAAATTGACTTCGCTTCTCGAGAGTGCCAAGCTGCATTTTTTGAACATCTCTCCAAACAAGGCCATCCAATACCAGCAGACAGACCGTGGGAACGACGAGAATTGGAAAAGTAAGATTTCGTACTTAAACTACCCTCTGTCATAACAGTTGTAAATGATTCATTTCTTTTCTCGCTCCTCTCGACCGGGAAGCTGGTCGGCCGAGCGGACAGCACGCTGGACTTGTGATCCTGTGGTCCCGGGTTCGATCCCGGGCGCCGGCGAGAAACAATGGGAGAGTTTCTTTCACCCTATGCCCCTGTTACCTAGTAGTAAAATAGGTACCTGGGTGTTAGTCAGCTGTCACGGGCTGCTTCCTGGGGGTGGAGGCCTGGTCGAGGACCGGGCCGCGGGGACACTAAAGCCCCAAAATCATCTCAAGATAACCTCAAGATTTTACAGTTGCACTTAATAGTAATGAGTGTTTAAATGTAAGGAGTGTACTGGAGGATCCTTGGCAGACTGGGAGTTGGAGTGAAGATGTTCTCTCACACAGCAGTAGCACTTCTCCACTGCTCTTCATTGTCTTAAACTTATTTTCTCTACCATTCGTTTCACATTTTTTCACCTTTAATCCTACCAATGTCCACTCTTCTTGAGGGCTGCTTGCATACTGACAAGTCATCTTCTGTTGTGTTAATTGCATTAATCTGGTATTAAAATGCACGTTACACACTCCACTGGACTTTGCTCCCAACCTTTTCAGATGTCACTTCTTTTCTAAAGTTAGCAGCCAGGATCTGCTTAACTACTCAGTCAAAAAAGTATTAATTTTCCAGGTAATTGTATTGCAGACTTGTCTCTTATGTCCTCTATTAGCCAGTAACTTGGGTTGTCTCTGAGGGAAGCCCCATTGGCTTCCCGGAGCTATCCAGGCTGATATAGATATATTAGATTTCTGGCATCAGTCAATGTGCATAGAGTTCTAAGCCTACTGGGGACCACAAGCCAGAACCTGGCCCCCTCAGAGGCATGAGGAGCAGTGGCCTATAGAAACCCCCATGAGGTTGGAAGTATTCTATGTCTGCCATTGACCCGGTCAGGCACCCATAAAGGTAAGCACCCCAAAACAAAACCCCCTATTCTGGTGAAAACATTGTTAAAAAGAGCTGAACGAGTGGATAGAACTCCCCAAATGAAAACAAGTAAACTAGCATGACGTCACCATGTTGCTACCCCACTGTCTTGCCAACCCTCCCTCACTGGGAGGGAGAAGGGGGAGCCCCAGACCTTCATGCCGGCTACCCACCCTTCAGTTCTTGGCTGATGTAACACTGGCAAGATTGTGTGCCTCTTGCTCCACAGAATTCAGTTTTGTGTCTTGTGGTGTGGTGCTGTCTCTTCGGTCGGTGTGCGAGCAGTAGTAATTTCTTCAGTACTCAGGCTGCATGTTCCGTTTCCTTCCCTTGGTGCCCTGTAAATACTACCCTTGGGGCTTGGAGCCACCTTCCACAAGTCGCCTTGGGATCTACCTCCGCAGTGTCTTTTGCTGCTTGGTGATTGACCACCCTTGGAATTAGCTGGGGTTTGTGTTCCCCTGTTTGTCTTTGGGTAAGGGATAATTTTCGTCACTGGTAGGGGCGCAGGGTATGTTGCTGTTAGTTATCACCTCACATAGCAGCCGACTCTGTTCCGCCTGGGTACGTTGTCCTCTTGCAGGTGATTTTCTTTTTCTTTTTGTTTAGCTGCCTGGTGAAGGGGTCTGCCATTTGGTTAGTCAAACCCTATTGTTACTTGGTCCTCCTCCGCTAGGCGCTTGCAAGTGTATACGTCCCGAGGGTTCAACTTTAGCAGTTTGCTTCGTAGTTTTGGGTGCCGGCTAACAGTACCCTGCTAGCAGTCATCTCAAGATAACCCTGCCTGGGTTTCGCTTATCCAAATACCATGACTAAGGGCCCTGGGAAACCCCATGGGGCTCTGTGGTCCAATGGATGTGACCCTGGGTCTATTCTCGCTTCGTGCGAGTCAGAAGGTTGCTGTCCCCCCTTGTCTCAGGGTGACGATCACCGGTTGTGCCTCAGCAATGCTGCCTGTTGTGACGGTGACACTTTCGACCCGGAGTTGCGTGAGTTTTGTTGCTTGTACGTACTCCAGTTCACCCAATCTACTGATGATTATATGCGAGTGTAGACAGCTTCAGTGTTGCATGCTAGGTTCAGGTTGCTGCAATGCCAGAGGTAGGTTGCTTCCACGGATGCCCCAAGACTGCTCCGCTTTGGCTATAGGGACCCGGACTTGGGGGTGTTAGTTGCCTTGGCTTTGGTTCCGTCCGCACCCCCTGGTCCTTCCCCTTCTGTTGTGCATCCTGGTCCTCACTCCTTGCTTTCAACTCCAAAGTGGCTGAGGGTTTCGGAGTCAGAGCAAGGTTTAGTTGGTGTTGAGACTGACAGTTTCAGGTGAGCCCCTTTTGGGGTGGCAGCAGAGGCATTCGAGCCTGGTCCTCTAGCCGAAGCTTCTGGGTCTGACCAATAGGCCCCATTATTTCCTGTTTTTTGGTGGTTTCTTTAGAGGCAGGGGGGTTTGTAGGACATCTCGGTTCCAGATCCTCGGGGTGAGGTTTCCAGGGCGGGGGAGGGGTTGACTTCGCGACCTTGGGCCCTGTTGGACCTCGCTTGGGTTTTTGTACAGCGCTGCCTTGGAGAGGGGCTTGGTGTTACAAGGAGAGGGTTTCTCTTATTCTCCCTCCTTGTACGAATTGGATTTGGCATCTACCCCTACCCAGGTTTAGTTCCGTGGGTTTGTCGGTTGTCGTTCCAGAGGTTTTCGGCCTCCTGCATCCCACCCCACCCCATGCGGTGCGGGAGGCCATTGCGGCTTGCCTCGTGCACGACGTGTATTACGCCTTCATAATGTATCTGAATTACACACAGAAATCGCAATAGCGTGATGCATCACATGAACAAATCCACAAGGGCCATGATGAGGGTTTGAACCTACGTCCGAGAGCAGCCCAGACGCGCCTTAATCGACTGAGTTACGACATGGTATAAGGATTGCAACCGGGAAATCAACTTGACCTACCACGGATCCTGCAGGCTCTCCGAGAGACAAACCAGGTTTTTACACAATTCCCCTCATGCACCCAAGCTCTGTCAATAAGCTGTTCTACCTCTTCGCCCTTACTTCATTACACATATGTAATGAAATTTGTTCATTTGATGCATCACGCTATTGTGATTTCTGTGTGTAATGAAGTAAGAGCGAAGAGGTAGAACAGCTTATTGACAGAGCTCGGGTGCATGGGGGGAATTGTGTAAAAATCTGGTTTCTCTTCGAGAGACCGTGATGACTTCTCTGGGGGTACTCTCTCTCTCCGTTTTGCCTGCATACCACTAGGACCTGGTTGTGATTCACTGCTTGTCTCACTAAAAATTTGTCTAGCGACGCTTGTTTTTCCCTTCGTTTTAACACTTGTCTGTAGTGATGCATCACAGCGTCATTGAAAAGGTTAAGGCAACGGCCTGCTACAGCTTGCTCTGGGTGAGTAGTTTCAACAAAAGTTTGCATTTCTTCCCACAGTCTACATCACTTCTTAATTATTGAGGAAGGGACTTTCTGTATTGCCTCCTCTTTCCCTGAAGAAATTTGCTCAGCTGCCTCTATGGTCATCATCATATGTGTTTTCATATGTTGAACCTTACCACTGACTTTCTTGGGACCCATGGTGTGATATATAATACAGGGGTACCTAGGTTTAAGAGTTTAATCCATTCCTGGAGACAGTTCATAACCCGAAAACTCGTAAACCGAAGCTAATTTCCCCATAAGAAATAATGGGAAATGAATTAATCCATTCCTGACTACCCAAAGACTTCACTTCAAACTAAATTTTATAACTAATTCATCCAAATCTACACTACAAAAAGTATGTTCAAGTTATTACTTACCCTTGCTGATGACTCCTGTTGACATATGGAAGATGGTGAGGAGGGGGGAGGAAGAGAGGTGTTACTGTTTGGAAGGGGAGTCCCCTTCCATTATAACATCAGGCAGTGAAGATTTTTCTGGAGTGTGCGCACTGGCATGGGTTGCCTGCTTACCACTAGGTCCTGGATGTGGCTCACTGATTTTCTGTTTTCTCACAAGGAAACGTTCCATTGAAAATTGTTTTACCTTTCTTTGCAACACTTCTCTGTAGTGAGGCATCACATTGTCATTAAAAAGATCAATGCAACGGCCTGCTACAGCTTTATCTGGGTGATTCTTTTTAGCAAAACTTTGCAGTCCTTCCCATACTGCACACATTTTTTTAATTAATGAGGAAGGGACATTCTCTACTGCCTCTTCCTCCTCCTCCTCCCCTTGAAGATATTGTCCCCTTGTCACCCTGAAGATGTATTGTACAGTACTGCCTAGCTAGTTCAACAACACGTGTACCATTTTCATGCTTCCGAATGATCTCTTGTTTTTCCTGTATTGTCATCCTTATGTGTGATTTCTTGCCTTGAACCTTACCACTGGCTTTCTTGGGATCCATGGCGAGATATATAACAAAAACTTTTATGCTTAAATGGCCAAAAATCCGACCATTTTTGGCCATTTTTTAAATGGCCAAAAATCCATTTCAGCCATTTTTTAAATAGCTGACTAGCAAAGGCCTAGCGTACAGGCCGACTCTAGGTCGGCCAGTACACGTATCAACAAACTTGTAACCCGATGCAATGCTTGTATCCCGATAAAGATTTTCCGACCAAATCAGGTTCGTGACCCAGGGTTCCACTGTAATCAGTTTTCTGTTCAAAAAGCAAAAAATCACTTAAAAAAATGGAATTTCTTATAAGCGTGATCGTCACTAAACGGCCAGCTCTAGCAAACTGAGGTAGGTCGGCTTGCGCGACGCGCTCGGTCGACCCGAACGTGTATCAACGAATATCATAAGTCGAGTCACATTTTCCGATCAAATTTATATCGTAAGTCGAGGTACCACTGTATTGATGTTACTTCTGCTCAATTTCACAAGCTGTCTTGTGCGTTGCTTCACCTCTGGCCTGCTCATATGCCGCCTGAGCCACCCTGGTCATTAGACTGGGTTGCTCTCTCTTTTTTCTCTCTCTCTCTCTTTCCCCGGTTT